GGTTTGGTTTTTGGAGGATTAATAATATGAGAAGCCTAAATTTATGCTAATAAATTAAAAAAAAACAATAAACAAATGTGATTTGTTTTCAAACATAGGTAAAAATATTAGTAGACAAGTTTCTCATTTTAATAGATGACTGCTCAAGCTTTCATTGCCAAACCATGTATTTTTGTTCATTCCATAAACATGTTATTTATTTAAATTTGAAAAAAAAAAAAATATTTACCTTAAATTTGAAAAGAAAAAATGACCATCATTTGAAAAAACACATTTAATACATTTAATACAATGAAAATTCACAGGTTTCCCATCTGTGCACACATAGAATAGCAGTGTATAACTCATTTGGGGATTGAATTCCTTCAATGTGGTTTCTAGGAAACCATTCATAAAATCACAGCTGCAGCTAATTTCCATTTCTATGGATTTTGCATTTGTTAGAAAAAGAGAAAAGGGATCTTACTATTTTTGAAAAGCCATGTAAAGGAAACTAAATTATATCATCTAAAGCATACAGCATACAGATTTTAATAATTCACAGAACAGCAACTCATTATTCCTATTCTTAAGTAAAACGCATACACACTATCATTCTGTAATAATCCATTGTATCTTTCTACTTCATTGGCCTAAATTATGGAAAGTCACTTTATATTCTGTAATATGAATGTCTGACTGCCAGAAGTTCCTACTAAGTTTCCTTGTTGGGTATTGCAGTGATGAACTGATCAGTAAACAGTAATGGAAACCCTAATCTATGATCAAAGAGTATTTGATCATAGATGTATTTATCATTTTCTTATCTATTATACATTTAATTTAATTTAAACAAACAAATAAATGAAACCACAGCAGGATTTCAGTAAAATGCATCAACATATTTTTGGGCTCTACAAAGGAATATATCCCAAAGCTCAAGTTTCTACACAAAAATAAATGATATGATAACATGTTAATAAAATTCTTAGATGTCCCCATGGAAATGATATTTTCGAACAGTCAAGGACAAATAAAAGTGTTAGAAAATTAAAGACAGGTAAAAGTTATTCCTATTTTAAAAAAGAAGGTAAACCAGTTTGTGAGTTTTACATGTTTGTTTCAGAACACACAAAACAACTACACAGCCATCAGAAGAAGTTCTCATAGCTTCATCAAGAAGCAAATTTGTCTAAAATCGTTTAATTTCCTCTTTGTTAGAACTACTAGAGCAAGGGGGCACTGCTGACAGACTATCACTAGGGCAGCAAAGCATTTGCTAGCGAAATTCACTCTATCCTTGAGTTTACCGTGAAGGAAACAGCCTAGGCAGTAACACAGCAGTTTTTTGTTTTTTTTTTTTGATGAATAATTGTACTAACCACTAACTAAAAAAATACAAGGCTATAAACTGGTGTCTAACATTTTGCATTTAATCTTGATCTAATATTAACAATGAAACTATTTAAGTGATAGCATATCATTTTTTACATTACATAAATTAAGAGGAACAGCTTCCATCAGTGTTTCTCAAATTATAGGGTCTGAAGTGATCATCTTGGGGTTTCAAGTATATTTGTCAGAAAGGAAATTTATTGTAAATGTGAAGAAAAATGTACCAACTTTGATTAAAATAAATATAAAAGATTTGTTGGGTGACTTCAGGTAAAGTATTGAGAGAAATTAACAACATAGTAAGCTAGCATTTTTTACATATCTAAAACAGAGACCATGGCTTCACTGATGCCCTGACTTCAAAGTTTCCAGAACTATGAGATAATAAATTTTTCTTCTTATAAGACACTGAGGTGGTGATAATTACTTATAGCAACCTTATGAAATTAATAGAACTGCCAAACATAAATCTCTAGCTCATATTGGTCTCATATAGTCTATATTTTGTTTATATAATTTATTTTGTTGTTGTTGTTAATAACAACAGCAGAACATACACCAACTCAAGTGTACAGGCACAGTGACACTGACATTGATTCCATTCTTCAAGTTATGCAGCCATTCTCATCCTCTTTTCTAAGTTGTTGCTGCCCTAGTAACATGAACTCACTGCCCCTAAGTTTCCAATCTAATCTTTGAGTTGCTGTTGTCAATCTGATCTTACATAGACAGATCTGAAAAGAGCACAGTGTTCAAGGCAGACATTGTTTGCTAATTAAGCTAAACTATTGTTTGATTTTAAGAGATATTTTTGATTTAAATTTTAAACATTAAAGATTATCTCAGGGCATCAGTAATGGGGGTTCATACAACCTTCATGGC